GAAGGGGGACTGGTCCCTGGGGGTGGGATGGGGGCATGATGTTGAACTCATGGGGCTGTGAACATGGAGTATCTGTGTGCTAATTTCAGTGGCTAGTCAGAGGGTGGTCCTCTGGCTTGGTGCCAGAGGACAGGCAGTTCTGGGATCTTCTTGAGGCTTGGGTCCTAGGGGGAAATGCCTAGGTCTCCTCCACCCGTATCTCATTCTCCCCAGAGACTTTCATTTGCCTAATTCTTTCACTTACTCCTTAGCCTTCTCCTAAACAAAGAACCCTGATATCCAAGTTTCCCACAGTGGGGAAACTGAGGCTGGGAAATGAAGTCGTGTGCACTACAGCAGGAGCAATGAGATTTGTTTTGAGAAGGCTCTTCCTGCCCCTTGTCCATCCCGGGGAACTGAAACAGGCGTTTGGGTATCCAGCTCACCCGGCAAACTCCTCATTGCAGCCCTGGCCACCATGCAGGACAGAGTCCTACTTCCTCATCAGGATACTTGTGCTCCTTCCTAGAAGTTTTGACTTCAATATTATGAGGCCAAGACCTCCCCTGGACCCCCAAAACATGGCTGGGGAACTCAGTATGAAATGGAGGCAGGGGAGACCTGAAATTTCTTTTGATTTAATTCGCTCGGGTTATTTCAGAACTGCAGCCCTTGCAAGGCTGCCAGGCCCAATTCCCCTGCAAGAGAAGGCAATGGCAGTTTGGGACCCAAGGGTATTATTCCCTGAAATCTTTCTGCTTTCCAGTCTTCTTCTTCTTTCCTGTCATAGTACTAACTCAGTTTTCTCCAGTCTCTGAACAGACAGGCACCCCGTGGGTCCCCCCCCCCGTGGGTCCCCCCCCCCTCCGCTGCCACGCTGCCACCCGCCTTAGGTGCTGAGGGGCATCGAGGGTCAGGAAGTGGTGGAGGTGTGACAGAAACTCTTCTCAGGGTCTGCTTCTGCTTTTAGCACATATAGTGCCCTCTTCGCCCCGCCCCAAACGGAAATGCTTACCCATCACCCCAACTAGACCCAGAGGGAACAAAACTTGGTTGAGCCCTTCATGAAATCTACTCAGGTCACTCACTCACTTGGTTTTCCCTTTAAATTCTTTTCTATCTGAGAAGCTAGAATGCTCCCAGATTGGCTCACTCTCATTGCCATCAAGTTGGAGCCAACTCTACGCTGACCTCCCATTGAGTTTCCAAAGCAAGGACTAGAGCTCTGGTAGCCTGATGGGTAAAGAGTTGGCTGCTGACCCGAAGGCAGGCAGTTAGAATCCACCAGCTGCTCCTTCTGTGCAATTTACTGCATTTGAAAAACCTGTTGAGGGTAGCTATGGGTCATTTTCAACTCAACACATAACAACAGCAACCACAAACAGCAAAGGGGGAGGCCAGCGCTGATGAATTTGAACCACAGGAGAGGTATGGCCCTCGAGTGTGTAGTGCAACACGTGCTTACACACTAGGTCATCAGACCTCCCTCCAGATTCGCTAAGAAGCTGTCATTTTACCAAATGGATCAGAGAGGGCAAGTGTTGTCCAGGATCACACAGCGCACTTCCTTCAGGCAGGGTGGAACCCAGAAGTCTTAATTCCTAGTTTTCCTGTAAACTGAGAGAGGATAGCCTGGAAGAAGCCTTTCACCTTCTCATTTTACTAAAGAAAAAGCTGAGGCAGGAGAGAGCTCAGGCAAATAGTTGGAGAGAATTAGAACTGAGAGAGAACTTAAGACCCAGCTCCAGTAGCCTCCACCCCTACCTGCCTTTGTTCCCTCTCCAGTGGGGTAGCACTCAGCTCAGTCTTACAGTGTTGTCTCTATGGGCTGCAGGGAGTGCAAACAGCTTCAGGTGACACTGTCCAGAGGGGGTCACCTAAAATAACAGTCAATGACATTTTTATGCAGTGTGACAGCAAGAATTTATTATATTTTGTAAAAATATCCCTATATATGCGTACAAATGCAATAAAGCAAACATTGAATCATAATAAAGCAATATGTGTAAAAATTAGATTGCTAAGTGGCTATTAAATGTATGATAGATTATGAAAATGTTTGAAATAATATGAGACTTATTAAAATGGAATATAGATATATGAGTGGCACCAATAGATTTGCTTGGCACAGGGTGCCACAATCCTTCAATTTATTAAAACAAATTCTAAACACCTATGAAGAGCAGTAATAGGAAGTATACTAAAAGGAGGTATGCCTGTAGTTATTTATAACAAACCACTTCTTGGAAGCCCAGCTTGCGTGTATCAATAAAGCTGCACGGCTAAAACCCTATGCTGATTGACTTTTTAAATCTTCTGGTGTACTAAGGGAGCACATTAGAACCTTCTCAAAGAGCTCTGGTGGTCTAGTGTATAAGGAGTTGTGCTGCCAACCCAAAAGCACGCGGTTCAAATCTCCTAGCTGCTCTGAGGAAGAAAGCTGGGCCATCTCCTCTTGTGCAATTTGCAGCCTCTGACAAGCCCCTAGAGGATCGGCTATGGGTCGGTTCTAACTCAACGGTGCACGATAACTACCAACAAAAATGTGCTTCACATGGTGGTGTCTCCATGCGTTACAAGCTTGTGCAGTTGCTTCAGGCTAGTGGTTTTATTTGTTGTTGTTGTTGTTGTGTACCTTTGAATCGGTTCTGACAGGTACAGGAGGAGATTGTCCCTCCTTCTCCAGCAGAGCATTTCGTGGATTCGAACCATATACCTTTGGGATTGAAGTGCAGCTTCTTTGCCATGAAGCCACCAGAGCTGCCTCATGCTAGTGTTTGTATAGTTGCTGATTTTTGCAAAATGTTCTGGTGCTGTAGCTGCAATATTGTGGCAATTAGTATTTTTGAAAAGCAAAGAAGGCTTCTCTTTAGTTACTAATAGTGTAGCTCACTATAGATTTTACCATACAGTTTTGTTAATATTCACATGATCTAATAAATACTCTGTTTAAGGAATTTACAACTATATTTATCACTTATTATTATTCTATTATTAAAATGAATAAACATGCTAAATATCATGTATGATCTGCTATGAAAGAAAGTCCATGAGGGAGGGAGGTGATAAAAGATACCTAACTAGCTAAACAAACAAAAAGAGTTACCTCACTGGGTGATGCCAATCCCAGTGATGTCATTGGTCTTATTTCTATCACCATCTAGATCTTCAGAAAGTCTTTTCTGAAGTTTATTTTCCATTTCTCTTGTTACGCCACAAATGTTTCTTTCCTCAAAGGTTTCACAAGGTGGTAGCAAAAGCAAGCATATAGTGGTTAAGGCTGGGTATCATTTTGGTGGTGCCATGATTCTCAGTTGTCAATTATGATGTAGTGATCATCCACGATCAGACTGATAGGATATGATGTAATTACATTTAGGATGAGGTCTGCTATGAGTAGCCAATCAGTTGAAAGGGTATTTCCTTAGGAATTTGGCCTCTATCCAATAAATTTGGATGTTCTGGCAAAGCTCTTTAACTTTTTGAACAGTATCCTGCATTTGGCTTGCTATCATCTTACCTCTAGTCTTTGGGTTTGAGCCAGCAACATGCCTTGTTACTGGGATCTCTCAGCCTGTGAGTGAGTCTGTGTCCTGCTAATCTTAAGTTCTTTAGCTCTGAAGCTACATGAGTCAGAAGTCTCTAGCATCACTTTCTCCTATGGACTCTCAAATGAGCTGCTTCCTCAATAGATAAGGTTTTTAAGAGCTCATTACTTCAGTTCTTTTTACTAATCTCTCTTAATTTGGAAGCTCTGCTGAAACCTCTACACCACGAGTGAGCCTGCTAGTATTGAAAATATTGGTGGAATAGCTTCCCACACCACAGCAATACAAAACCCACCACAGTATAACATACTGACTGATTAGTGATGGAGACGAGTGGCTGAGCAGTGAAGAAATCAAGTGGCACACTGCGTTGGACAAATTTGCTGCCAGGGACCTCTTAAAAGTGCAGGTGAGCAAGAGTGTCACTTTAAAGACTAAGGTGTGCCTGACCTAAGTAATAATATTCTCAGTTGCTTCATATGCATGTGAAAGTTGGACAATGAGTAAGAACGACTAAGGAAGAATTGATGCCTTTGGATTGTGGTAGTGGGGAAGAATAACAAATATATTATTACCTGCCAAAAATAATGAACAAACCTGTCTTGGAAGATGGGTAGCCAGGTGCTCCTTAGCAGCAAAGAGGGTGAGATTTTGTCTCACACACTTTGGGCATGTTATTGGAAGAAGCCAGCCAGTCAGTCCCTAGAGAAGCACATCATGGTTGGAAAAGTAGAGAGTCAGCAAGGAGGAGAGGAAGACCTTTAAAGACGGAAGAAGTGACATGCTGACTGAAACAATGGACTTAAGCACAACAGAGCCTGTGAAAATGGTGCAGATTTCATTTTCTTGTACACAGGATCATCATGAATAGTAACTGGCTCTACACCTGACAGCAACACATCAATTTACTGGTTTTGCTTCTCCACAAAACCTATTCTAAGGCAGACGGTGTATGAAGGAGCTACCTTTTGGGTAAGATGGGAAGAAAAGCCAGAACTTGAATTTAGCAGTGGACTCCTTCCCATGGAAGTCAGGGTAATATTAATAGAAGAAGAGTTCTTGACAGAGACCCTATTCCTTGGCTTATTTGCTCAGATGTTTGTGTATTTATTTGCAGCCTCATTGATAAGCTCAATTTGCATGTGGCCAGGCAAGAATCCAGGTGTGACTCCTCTATACAGAGTCTTCCAGGGAAGGAGAAATCCAGAGAAACTGACCATAAAGGAGAACTGGTCCCAGTTGTACCCTAGAATGCACCTGGGAGCTCTCCGCAGGGTAGTGCCTGCCTGAAGAGGGAGAAGGAGCTGAGCAGGAATGGGGAGGGGGGAACTAGTGTCTCCCTTCAACACCTCCCACCACATCTGGAGCGCTGCCTTCTCCACACAAGTGGATGCAGGAGCCGCAGAAGGTGGGGCACAGGGGGACACCGGTAGGAGGAGGAAGAATATGGGGAGATTCTAGTCCCTCCCACTTAGAGATGCGGTCGCCATGGTGACTGAGGACCAGTGAGACGGGATGGGGATGGGAATGGGGGGTGGGGGTGTGGCAGGGACCGAGGCACCGGGATACAGAACGCCTGGCATTCCAGGGGGAGGGAAACCCAAGCAGCGGCATCCCCAAGCTCCAGGTAAGGGAGCGGAGAGAGAGGGCTGACAGACATTTCTCACAGGAGGGGGCGGGCCATTGTCTGGCGCTGGCTCTGCCCTGAGGAGGGGGCAGACCGAGGGGGTCGGGCCATTGTGTGCAACACTCAGTTAAGCCTTCCAGCCCTCAGTCAGACTGAGGAAAGGACCTGAGAGGCTCTGGGTAAGGGGTTAGTGGGGATTGGGTTGGATGGGTGGCAAGAATGCTGGGAGGTTGAGGGGGTGGGAAAAGGCAGGAGGATACTGATGGAGTGGAGGCTTGGGGGCATGCCTAGTGCCTTACACACAGTAGGGCACTCAGTAAACAGAAGTTGATATGACTTGCTTACCATCATAGAAGAGGGCAGAGGAGGGATATAGCAGGTGGGGCTAAAGAAGGGGAGCAGGAAGCAGATGTTCCTCAGATCTTTGCTCTTCTAAATGCTGTCCTGAGGCTGAGAGAGGGCTGGACCCGCAGGTTTGCCGGTAGAGCCAGGACTGGCTCCCCAGAAGCCCCCCTCTAGAGCAACGTCCATGCTCCAAGGGTGGGAAGAGGCTGAGCCTCTGGGGTTGAAGCTGAGAGGTGGCTTGGGGGAGGGTTGGGAGCAACATCTCGTTGTCCCTCCCACCTCCACCCCCATGTCTGGATCTCCTCTTAGGCTATAAAGCCTGGCTGGAAGGGGCTCCTGTTTGATGTGGTCTAGGGACTGTGGGGGAGGAGTCCTCAGGAGATCTGGACCCTGGCAGGGGAGAATGAGCTCAGCTTTGTAGTCGTGGAGGAGTCTCTAGGTTGGCTTCTAAGATGAGGAGAGAAAGAGACAGGGGAAGCCCCAGACTGAGCCACTAACCCCTCTCCCTGCCACCCCGTCTGACCTGCTGCCTGACTCCAACATAGTCAAGTCACTTCCCTTCCTGGCCTTGGTTTCCTCATTTGTCCAATGGAGGGGTGGGGGTGGGGGGGTGAAACCCTGCCAGCTTCCTTGAAGCTGTGGGCAAGACATAATTTACAGGGCTCAGTACAAAGTGCAAATACAGGGCTCCTTGTTTGAAAAATGACTAAGACTTTCAAGGAAGCAATAGCATAGCATTAGACAAAACAGAGGTCCGTGAACATGGGGCCCTGTGTGACTGAACACATCTCCCATCCATGAGCTGATCCTCATGTTGGCTGTGGATTCTGCCAACAGCTGCAGCAAGAGAGATGCCAGTGAGACTGTGGGTCTGACTCAACTGGGGTTGAGAGAGACACCCTACCGGCTCTTTTGTGGAACTTGACCCCGGGGGTTCTTATGGGGGGAAGGATGATCTCCAATGAGGTTTCTGTTCCCTTTGAGTCAGGACTTACACCCCAAAGATGCTGTTTCTCAATCCAGGGGAAATAGAGATTACCTTTACCCCTCCCCCCTTTAGCTCCTCCATCCAAGTGGCTCAGAGATGAATTTCCTGAACTGGAACAGGAAGTAGATGTCCTGTCTAAGAAGGGGTTATTTTAAATGAGGCAGATCTGAATTTGGTTTGATTTCTAGTTGTGTAATCCCCTGGAGCTTATCTTATTTTATCTGAGCTCCTTTTCTTATCTGTAAAATGGGATTATTGTCATACCTACCTTCTAAAATTGTTAAGATTTCCTGGGTCTGAGGGAAGGAAAAACTGGGACCAGGTTCTGGGCCTGAACCTTCTGCAGAGGTGGGGACAAGCGGGCAGGAGAAGTGGTGTTCAGAGTGCCCCCCCTTCCCAACAAGCTGCCTCCTGGTGACCCAGATAAGACTATCTGTTCTACAAGAGAGGCCCAAGGGCTGGATTGGAGAGACCTGGTAAACAGGAATTACCCCTAGTTCTGAGGGCTCAGAAGACTGGATGTCTTGGTCCTTGGCTTCCCAAGGAGAGGGACTCTCACAGAGGGACATTATCTACAGCCTGCACCTGGAGGACTCTGGGGACGCCTGATGCAAGTTTGGACAGAAACAGCTGTGAGGAAAGAGTGGGTCTGAGGCCAGGCCCCAGGGAAATTGAGGGATCATGGGAACAGAGGGAGATGGGAGGAAGGCTGAGGAGGAATTCTTTGGGAGAGGCTGGCCCATGCCATCACTGTTGAAGGTTGGAGCTGTAGCAGGAGGGATGGAGGTTACATGGCAGGAAGCGCTTCCTGACCATGAGGAACATGCATTTAAGAAGGAGGTGGGTTATTTATTAGAGTCCATTAGCCGTGGGATGTCTGTGGTCTTTAACCTACAGTCAGCTGATCAGGACTGAGTGGGCAGGAAACGACCCACTTTATAAGGCATGGAGCCCTTGGCGCTGGATGCCTCATTAACCCTGCATTATGAGGCTCCCCTCCACCACCTCCAGCCATCAGGGAGGGGCAAACAGCTACTATTGGGGGTTGAGTGTTTCTGAAGCATACACCAGAAGTCTGAGCTCTGATGGGAAATTTCCTGGGCCTCCCCACTGACCTGATGCTCCAACAGTGATGGAAATTAGACTGCAGGAGGGACTTTCTTAGTGAAGCTGTGGATGCATGAAGACCTGATGCAATTCTATTTTACAAAGGCCATGATCCTGCCAGAAGTGGGAGGATTAAAGATTAGACCACTGCAGGGACTTCCCAGTAGTAGGTAGAAGTGACAGACCCTACCTTGTGGGTAAGTGAAAGAGGAATAAGAAAGATGGGAAATCTTGAGCAAGAGGAGAAACCACCTCTGGGCTGGTTAGACTGGATGTGATGTGAGAGAGAGACCAGGGAAATTAATGAAATGACCTACAATGGCCTTTAAACTTTCTGGATGGATGGAGGTGAGGAGGAGGAAAAAAGAAAGAGGTGTGTCTCCTAAAGTGGTGGAGCCTCTCTTCTGCCCTCCCAACTTCCGCCCAAGCCAGGAATCTGTCACAACTCGAGAGGTGGAAATTCTGGTTTCCCTGGCCGGGAGATCAGTGCTGCCTTTAGACTATGGGCACCTGGAGTGCCCCACTGCGGGCCCAGCCTGGCTGAGCCTCCCATCCTCTGCCCACCGGGGCCTAGCTGCCCCTCTCTCCTCTTGGATGGCATCCCTCCAGAGAATCTGGACACCTGGGTTCTACACTGTGGCTGGTTCAAGGGTATGTGAGGTGGTCATCTTAGAGCTGGTGGCTATGGGGTAGAATTACACAGAGGTTCAGGGAAAATAGACATCAGGAGTACAGAGCCAAGTGAGAGAAGGGGCAGCAGCAGAGACTGGGAGCTAGCTGCTCTCAGCTCAGGGCTACTTCGGGCAAATGCTGAGAGCTAGGGCTCAGGGTGGACCTTCATCACGTCCTTGGAAGACCTACGTGTCAGCTGGGCTGGGGGAGCGGGCTGGCCACGTAGATTCAGACCAGCTTTTACCTGCCTGGGTCATCAGAAGGCAGGGGTGAGCATGGGGCACAGGGTGCTGAGTGATCTGAAAGTAGCAGGAATGTGTGTTTTGGGAGCAGAAGTATGCTTCCTAGAACTCCCCTCCCTGGGGTTCCAATAGTTTTTAGGTTCTGGGCGAAAGGAGGGGAGAAGACAAAGCTTATACAGTAAGAAAGGCTTCCCTAAAGGAAGAAGAGCAGGATGATGGGTGAAAGGAAATCAGAAGAGGCAGGAAATTGAACAGCTGGGGAGAGAGGTACTGGACTATGCCCTGTGGGGGGTGATGGAAGTGAGACTCTCTGAGGGCCCAGTCAGAGAGGGAACCATGTCCTCACTTAAGACACCCCCTCCAGTTACACTTCTGCTACCTAAGGCTCTCTGATTGGTCCTCAGAGGGATGTGGTAAGGCCTGTTTGCCCTAACAGAGCCTGGGCGCCTGTTTCCCCAGAGCTGGCTGGTGACTGCCCCTGACTAAGCATGGCCCTCCCAGCCCTGGGCCTGGACCCCTGGAGCCTCCTGGGCCTTTTCCTCTTCCAGCTACTGCTGCTGCTGTTGCCACCAACAACTGCAGAGGCTAGTGGGCAGGGGCCCGTGCCCAGAGTCAGATACTACGCAGGTGAGTGTCTGGGGTTGGGGAAGTGCGGTGGGGATGGCAGCTCCAGCTCAGAGCTGGGGGACAGGAGAAGAAAGAGAGAGGAGAGGAGAGAGAGGTAGAAGGAGGAGAAAAATTGGGAGAAAAGTTAGAAGAGAGAAACCCAAAGACATGGAGAGGTATGCCAGGGGAGAAACAGGGCCTCTGAGAAAGAGACCTCCAGAAACAGAAACGCAGATGGAAAAGAGCAGATGATGAAACTCACTTGGGTCAAATATGGACAAAAGGGAAGAAGGGGGCCTGGGGCTAGGATTTAGAGGCACAGCGCCTTCCCATTGTCCAAAGCTGGTGAAATTTCTCTTTAAATGTCATGCTCATCCGCTGGGCATCTCAAACCCCTAACTACTCTTCTATCCCTGGGTGTCCCAAAGCCAAAACTCATTCAGGTCAGTCCCAAGCGGATGCTGGGAGGCTCCACCACCTGAGACATGTGGCACAGACTCCCTCATCAGGGTGACCCAGCTGGAGAGGGGTCCAGGTACAACTGTAGGTACAACTTAGTTGGTGTCTCTGGAGACCTCTAGGCTGTGGGGTTGTTGCAGAAGTTTCCAAGAAGGACACACACAAACCTATGAAAGTTGCCGGGGCAGAGTTTCCAGGCCTGGGAGTCTAACTGTGTCTTCAGCATCTTTCTTAGGCAACCTGGGAAAAGAAATGCATGGTGCCCATTGGTGGGAAAGCCTGGGATACCCACATGGGCCAGATTCCACTTTTTCCCTCAAGGTGCTCACATTCCAAGTGGAGAGGCCCACTGTCCTCTCCAGGGCGACCATTGCAGTAACTGGAGGGTCTGTGCAGGTTTTGAGGAGACCTGGGCGCATCCAGTAGATGCCCCTCTCTGAGGCTGGTGCTCCCAGTACCATGCTACCCACTATTCCCCAATGCTTCCTCTTCAGCACAAGATGCCCTGTGCCCCAAAAGGTAACAATTAGCTAGTCAGTAACTAGTGCAAAGTGCTAATGAGAGGGTTTTACAAGCTCCTTCCCCCCTCGCTGATGTGCTAGAGGGACAGGAATAGACACAAACCAGCGCCGCCGCCACCGCTGCCGTGGCTGTCATGTCAAGATCACGAAGATGGCCAAGTAGCCAAGCCACTCACCTCACCCACCCAGGCGACAGCCACACATGGCCTTAGAGACAAGAGGGGAAAAGATTCCTTTCTAGCCAGCCTAAGTGATTCAAGTGGTGGAAATTACCTACCATAGAGGAGGCAGGAAGTGGGTAAAGGTGGTGGTGGGTAGAGGACCCCTAAACCTCACGACACTGACACACAGCCCTATCTATCTATATCTAGCTTTCCTGTCTGTGGCTGCCAACATCTTCCTGTCTGCTGCTCCCTTTGCTAGTGGGGACAAGATGTCCTCCCCCGCCACAACCCTCAGAGCATCCCCCATGCCCATTCTGCTTCCTGTCCTTTTGTCTGTCTCCTAGTGCTGGCTACCTTCCCCAGCCCCAGGCTGTCCTTTCTCTGTCTCTGGCTGCCTCTACTCTCCACTGTGGGCTCCACACACAAAGCTCCTGTGGCTGCCAGCAGGGCGGGTGGAGGGAGAGCTGCTGGTGGAGAAGAGCGGGTCCAGCTGCCAAGGCCTGAGGAGCAACTGCCAAGCCACCACTTTCCCCACAACTATATCAGGGATCAGCTGCCGGCCTCCTACTCCTCATCACTCACTCCTTCTCATCACTCGCAACAGGGGACGGACGCAGGGTACTTAGCCTCTTCCAGCAGAAGGACCTCCAGGATTTTGACATTCTTCTCCTGAGTGATGATGGGAACACCCTCTATGTGGGGGCTCGAGAGGCCATTCTGGCCTTGAATATCCAAGAGCCAGGGATCCCAAGGCTGCGAAACAGGGTGAGGAGGACAGTGATAAAGGACGTGGGGCTGGGCATGAGAAGGGGGCCAGATGCTGCCCTGGGCCTGGGCTGCTTCTGCATGAATTACTGTCCAATTTGAGATGCATATAACATAAAGAAGTAGGACATTTATTGGCATCAGAGTAACAGACTGAATCATATTCATTGTCAAAATGGCTGATACGGAAATCATTGACATAGGAAATAAACATTGACTCAAATTGTATCAATAATTTGGTATTCATCCACTGATAGAAATCACTGAAGCTTCTGTGGTATAGCCACTCTACTCATGGGCGCAGTACGAGGGAGAGGGGAAGAAAGGAAGCCTAGCAATTGCCAATCACCTCTATGGTTTGTACTTTTCAATGTATGGTCTGTGGATGAGCAGATCAAGGTTAGTTAATCAGTAAATGGATAAGCCTAGATTTAAACTTGGTCCTGTCTGAAACCAGAGGCCATGGTCTACCATAGAGCTATGTTCTAATGATGTCAGTATTCTTAGTATAAATGCCATGGTCACAAATCAGTGTAATTACAGCTTCTCAACATGTCACTGATACTGTACCTGGTGCTTTCACACCAAAGACAAGGTGGGAATGGGAAGCCAGATGTAGAGGCAAAGACCTTATCTCCTCTTCTTGACTTTCTGCTTCAGATACCCTGGCCAGCCAGTGAAAAGAAAAAGAATGAATGTGCCTTTAAGAGGAAGAGCAATGAGGTAAGTGGAGGTTGGGGTAGGAGAGCTCTACATGGGGAACCCTGGAGCCCAGACTATCATTGAGATGACTCCAGGTTGGGCCAATATTTAGGACTGCTTGCTTGCACGACTATCTGCCTTAGTTGTGTTCTATAAAGATGTGCAGTGATTGTTCCAATATTGCCAAACCCTTCTTTCCACTAGAAAATGAGGGGCAGACCCTACGGGCCCAAGCTTCTGGGGCAAGTACCAACTCACTTTGGCTCCTCTGTCTCCTTCAGACACAGTGTTATAACTTCATCCGTGTCCTGGTCTCTTTCAACACCACCCATCTCTACGCCTGTGGCACATTCGCCTTCAGTCCTGCCTGTACCTTCATTGTGAGTTATCTGGTACCCAACTCTCAGGTCTCCAAGCTCTGCTTCTTACATCTACCCTTAGCCCACATTCTGTAGTTCCAGAGAATTCCTGTCTGCCAGGCACAAGAGCCTCTTGTGCTTCCTGGCTCAAGACAAAATTTCCTTTATGTATGTCCCTTTCCTACCCCCGCCTCATGGCCCTGATTTCCCAGACATGAGACCCTGGCGTTCTGGCCCCCCAGCTTCTCCCCCCCTCTAGGAACTCAAAGATTCCAACCTGATGCCCATCTTGGAGGAGCATGTCATAGATGGGAAAGGCCAGAGCCCCTTTAACCCAGTTCACAAGCACACAGCTATCTTGGTGGGTAAGTGTCAGGTTCCATGGTCCAGTTCCACATCTGCCTTCCTGGGTCTCTCTGTAAGATATGGAAACTGATAGTTTCTTGAAAGGCAGGGGAAAGAAGAAGGGGAAGCCAGGAGCTTCAGAACATGAGATCAAAGGGAGAATTAGGCACTCCAATCACCAGCTCGTGCCAGAATTGCCAGAAAAAGGGTAGAGAGAGATGTATGGAGAGATAGAGGTCAAAATGTCCAGGAACGTCTTGAGCAGAGAAGGGAATAAGATCTCAGTCATTTGTTCAACACATACGCATCATGTGAGGACCTTTTCTGGTGCTCCAGGCATCATGCCAGCAGTTGTAGGGATTGCATAGAAGAAATCACATCTCTGTCCTCCCAACTATGAACCATTGCTGGTTTCCTATGCTGACTTCCTGGAGGAGGTGACTTCTGACTTTTGGGAGGGAACTTGAAGGATAGGAAGGTAAATGGGCAGGGAAAGGGTTCCAAAAAAGAGCAGGAACAACCTCAAGTGTGGAAGCAAAAAACACAGCTACCTTCCAGGAACAAATGAGTGATTCTATTTGGCAAGTAGTTCAGCTGAATGTGTGATTAGATAGCCAAAGAAAGGAGGGGTAAATGCTAATCACAGAAAGCCACACGGGCTGGCCATTCTCGGTAGGCAGAGGGACCCAAGAACCCTACAGTTCAGTTTGTAAGCGGGCATTGGGGTTTGGGAAAGTATGGGAAGAAAGAAGGGAACCAGAGACTCATGTGGATGCTTCTCCAGTCAGGCAGGTCTGAAGCCAGAAGGGGAGCCCTCTAGCCTGATAAGTCTCTCTTTATCTCACCCAGATGGGATGCTGTATTCAGGCACCATGAACAACTTCCTGGGCAGTGAGCCCATTCTGATCCGCACACTGGGCCACCCAGTCCTCAAGACTGACACCTTCCTCAGCTGGCTGCAGCGTAAGAACTTGACCCACACCTAGCACACGTTCAGACCCCCTTCCTGGAGCCCTGTTACTGTGAATTTCTATTAATGCATTCTGTTCTCTGCCAGCATGAAGCTTCCATCATACCTAAATAATTTCTAGCCATTCTCCGACCAGCTGTGGGAGTTGGCTTGCTGGTCCACCCTAGGGTTTTCACCAAGGGGAACCCAAGGCATCCAGGTGGTCAGTCTTTAAGTCCCTCTGCCCCGCCCCCGCAGCGGATGCCTCCTTCGTGGCGGCCATTCCTTCGACTCAGTTCGTCTACTTCTTCTTCGAGGAGACGGCCAGCGAATTTGACTTCTTCGAGAAGCTCCACACTTCGCGCGTGGCACGAGTCTGCAAGGTCTGCGCCCCCAGAACGAGAAATGGGGTTGTTGGTTGGGGAGCCAATCGGAAGGTGGCAGAGGCCGGACCGAGAGCTTAGAGCCCAATAGGGGCGGGGCGGCGGGGCCTTGGAGGGGGCGGGCCTAGGGCACGCGAGGGCAGCGCTGGCTTCCCTGACTCGGTAGTCTCCTGCAGAACGACGTGGGCGGAGAAAAGCTACTGCAGAAGAAATGGACCACCTTCCTGAAGGCCCAGCTGCTCTGTGCTCAGCCGGGGCAACTGCCTTTCAACATCATCCGTCATGCAGTCCTGTGGCCTGACAGTTCCTCCAAGGTTCCCCACGTCTTTGCAGTTTTCACCTCCCAGTGGTGAGCAGAGGGATGGGAACACGAGAGTTAGCCTGGGATCTGTAGCCAGCTCACATAACAGCTTGGGCTCCAGAAGCAAGGCACCAACTGGACGTGAGCTGAGCACTGCTTTGCTTTTTATATGGAAAAGCGTTTGTTTAATCGTTACAAATTTCCAAGAATTTCACTCATGCCCTTCATATACCGGGGGGGGGGGGGATTTAAAATCTCAGAGATTTGTGCTAATCTTTTTCTTGAGAGTTCCAAAAAGGGATGGGCAACAGCTTACAAAAGGTTACCATTAAAATAAAATAGAGCAAAATAAGAATAACTGAAGAATGAGAGGAGTCAGGGGTAGGGTCAATGCATTATAAATATTTATAAAATTGTTGTACAATCCCTGGATACTGGCTACAAATTTAGTTGTGAGCTTTTTTATAGTCAGGACACAGAAGGAAAGCACCATAAGCCTTACAGGATAAAAATGAAACAATTACTTGAAGGCTGCACACGTTAACTGCTTGTCTGAGGTCCTGTGTGTGGGCTCTGCCCCACATTGTATAGGTACCTTCTGAAGATCTTTCTGATACCAAAGGTGGAAGTGAAGTATGGGTACAAGACATATCCAGAACTGAAAACCTGATGGTGCCACAGTGAGGTGAAACAGAGTGAGAGGCAGATATTCTATCTACATGGATCACTGCTAAAGTAAAAATTGTCCATTTATCAGGGGTCTGTTTTCTAAGGACCAGGAGGGCTTCCTCTGGAGTCAGCCCATAGCTAGTTACACTGTCTCTTCCATGAGGGTAGCCCAGCTTAGGCAGGACAGGAAGGATTTACCCTAGAGCTAACTTCCAGTGAATTCTCTAAGAATTATCGTACTTTAGATCCTAAATATAAGCCTAGAGCCAAAGTCAGAGCCAAGAATTCTTCAACCCTTTAACTCCTCTATATAGCGGGGAGCAGGAGAAGCAGGTGTTCCAACTACAACATTCCTCCCCTTCTGTGGCTTATTATTGAGGATGGACCATGGCTGGAGAGGCAGCCTCTTGGTGTGGCAGAGTTGACCACAGTGTCCCTCCCCTCTGGTTGTCTCCAGGCAGATCGGTGGGACCAAGAGTTCTGCTGTCTGTGCCTTTTCTCTCATGGACATCGAGCGTGTCTTTGAGGGGAAATACAAGGAGCTGAACAAAGAGACTTCACACTGGACCACTTACATGGGCTCTGAGACCAACCCTCGGCCAGGCAGCGTGAGTACCATTCCTCTGATGCACACGTGCACTCACACATATCTAATACTAGTACTCCCCACCCTGCCAGTCACATTTGCTCAGATATACACCTGAACTAGCTTCCCACAGTCCACAAGTGTCCAGTCCATCCTACATAGAGAGTAGCTGTCAGGCCACCCCCAAACCCACTCGGTTAAATTGCATGTCTCTGAGGAAACAAGGAACAAGGGCTGTATAACAAGTAGTCGTGGGCATCTTGATCTGTTTCCTCTTTTAAAATCAGATTTTATACATACATAAAGAAACCAAATATTATTTCATTATCAAAAAAGAGCCTCACACCCTCTTCTTCCTCTCCTTTCCCTTCTCTAGAGACAATCACCTTACATTTTTTCAGTTGATTTATATTTATTTATTTATTTGCCACTTATTTCCTTATATCTAACTTATGTCTAAATAGTATGCTTTTATTGCTGATCCTTGATATTTCCGTTTTAGGCCATACATTGCATGTCCATTTTAGAAGGGGAGGATTTATTTGTCTTTTTCCTCTCCTACACCCCAGCCCCCACCGTTGTGCTAGATATTGGCTATCTGGCTTACAGCGACTAACAAGAGCTGATTTTGTGCCTCTCTTTATAAATTCAGTGTTCAGTGACATTAGTTGGTAGCTTGAAATTACCTAAGGTAAGGGCGTATTTACACACTAGAAATTCAGCAAACATGAATCAAAGCTTCCCTTGACCCAGAGAGCCAGCTTTCCAGCATACCACTGCAGCCTCCCTCAACCTCCCAATATAGTTTTATAATAATTTTGACTTTATGACTCTTAGAATTCATAGTCAAACCAGGTAGTAAATCATGATTCCTTTATCTTTTGTGTGGTTGTGTGTTGTTATATACGGTCAAGTCGGAACCAACTAATAGCTGACCCTCTACGGGGTTTTCAGAGGAGGAATCAAACAGGAGGAGATTGCCCATGCTCCTCCCACAGAGCTGCCAGTGGATTTGAATTAACAGGGCTATTCCTTACCATTAAGCCACCAGATCTCTCGTGTGTGTGTGTGTGTGTGTGTGTGTGTGTGTGTACATATATTCCTTTTTAAAATTGTATGTGTGTGTATATATATAAATACGTAATTTTTATCCTGCCTGGTGTTATTAATTACCTTGACTTTTTGGTTTGCTTTGTTTTCTAAACTCATATTACTAATTCCACCCCCTCCAAGTCTACCCCACCCCACTGCCATTGAGCTGATTGTGATTCATAGTGAGTTTGTATTACAGAGTCTCTATTACAGACTGCCTCATAGGGTTTCTAAGGCTGAAATCTTTTACAGAAGTACACTGTCACATATTTCTCTTGCAGAGTACCTGGGGGTTCAGACCTCTGGGTTAGCCACCAAGTATTTTAACCCCTGTACCACCAGGGATCCTATTCAACCTCCTACCCTTTCTCAGTTATCTGATTACCCTCTGAAGACAGCCTCACGAGGTGGCCTAACAAGTTAATTTTCCTAGATAGCCTTCAGTCTAGGCAAGAGCCTCTCCAAGGCAGTGTTACAGTCCTGGAATCTCCCATCTTGTCATATTGGGGATTCCCCACTTTGCCTCTCTCCTGGTGATGAAGCTTATGGTTTTTTTCCCATATGGCTTCTTTTTTTTTTTTTTTTAAAGTGTGTGTGTGTGTGTGTGTGTATGCATATGCATAGAATGAATATCTTCCATAGATGTCTAGAAAGGGACAGGGGAAATTTACATGGAAGATAAAATTTTTTAGAACCTTGAATATCTGAAAATGTCTTTATTCTGCTTTCATTTAACTGGTAGTTTAGCTCATCCTCCTTCTCCCACCCCATTGCTGTTAAGTCAGAACAAATTCATAGCAGGCCCTCCACTGCGTTTCTGAGGCTGTAAATTCCATAAGAAGGAATTGCCCATCTTTCACTGAGGAGCCACTGGTGGATTCTAATTTCCAGAGAGAGAGAGGGCCTTTGTGTTAATAGCACAACCCTTTACAGATTGTGCCACCAGAGCTCCCGGATAGTTAGCTAGATATATGGAATTCTAGGCTCAAAATAATGTCTCCTTTCTCTATTGTCTTGTCGCTTCCAGTTCTGCGATTGAGCAGTCCTAAGGTTTTCTGATTGCTCATTCTTTAAGGAAACCTCTTTGACTCACTGGAATCTGCTGGTGCCTTCCCATTCCCTACTTTATGAAAGTCTGTGATAGTGTGCTTTGGTGAGATGTTCTTTTTTTTTCTTTCTGGAATTCTAAGGGCCCCTTCAGTTTGGGAATTCATTTCCTTCAGTTTTAAGATACTTCCCTTCTATTTCCTTTTATTTCAACACATGTTTATTCAGGCCATACTCTTGGTGCATACTCTACAGCAATAAAAGAAAATAGACACTAGTTCTTTTTTTTTTTTTTGCTCTGATTTTTTCTTTATCATTTTAAGTTTTATTTTATTTTTT